TTCTCCGTTCAAGGATTACATATATGGATATCTGTCGTTACATATAAAGAATATCCAAGATAACATAAAAATAATATCCAAGATTATATATATGGAATATCCAAGGTTACAGAAAAAAAATATCCCAGATTACATAAAAATAATATCCAAGATTATATAAAAAGAATATCCAAGGTTACAGAGAAAAAATATCCCAGATTACATAAAAAGAATATCCCAGATTACAAATATATATTGGTATCCGTCTACACAAGGTTGCAACATTTATCTATATATTGAATAATATATTGTTGTGGCTAGAGACGTATAATTAATTATTGCTCCCCCAACGCAATAGCATAATTAGAAAAAGATGTCAATAAATCATATATTTTATAGAAGAGTATCTCAAGGGACTTAATCAACATATTAAATAAATGTGTTTTTATGATTGCAAGGAGACTATTTATTGGTTCGTTATATTCGTTTTATAATTGCTGTTTATGTGGCCAATACAATGAAACTGTTTTTTACATACATAAACGGTTTGAATAGTTCTTTCTACACTATCAACAGGAGTAGATTAATGTATGATTAGGATAAAACAATCCTAGGTTAGACACTCCTCTCTGTAAGTTTAAACAAACCGATATAGTTGCTCCCTTGCTGCGATAATAGTCAATTAAAAACTACACAAGCAGACTTAAACTAAAACTACACAAGCAGACCTAAACTAAAACTACACAAGCAGTCCTAAACTAAAACTACACAAGCAGATCTAAACTAAAACTACACAAGCAGACCTAAACTAAAGCTACACAAGCAGACCTAAACTAAAACTACACAAGCAGACCTAAGCTAAAACTAAACAAGCAGACCTAAACTAAAACTACACAAGCAGACCTAAACTAAAACTTATGCTCAAGCAGACCTAAACTAAAACTACACAAGCAGACCTAAACTAAAACTACAAAAGCAGGCCTAAACTAAAACTTCACAATCAGACCTAAACTAAAACTACAAAAGCAGGCCTAAACTAAAACTTCACAATCAGACCTAAACAAAAACTACACAAGCAGACTTAAACTAAAGCTACACAAGCAGACCTAAAGTAAAACTACACAAGCAGACCAAAACTGAAACTACACAAGCAGACTTAAACTAAAGCTACACAAGCAGACCTAAACTAAAACTACACAAGCAGACCTAAGCTAAAACTACACAAGCAGACCTAAACTAAAACTACACAAGCAGACCAAAACTAAAATACACAAGCAGACCTAAACTGAAACTACACAAGCAGACCAAAACTGAAACTACACAAGCAGACCTAAACTAAAACTACACAAGCAGACCAAAACTGAAACTTCACAAGCAGACCTAAACTAAAACTACACAAGCAGACCTAAACTGAAACTACACAAGCAGACCTAAAGTAAAACTACACAAGCAGACCTAAAGTAAAACTAAACAAAGCAGGCTAAAACTAAAACTACACAAGCAGACCTAAACTAAAGCTACACAAGCAGACCTAAACTGAAACTACACAAGCAGACCTAAAATAAAACTTCACTAGCAGACCTAAACTAAAACTACACAAGAAGACTTAAACTAAAACTACACAAGTAGACCTAAACTAAAACTACACAACTAGACTTAAACTAAAACTACACAAGCATACCTAAACCAAAACTACACAAGCAGACTTAAACTAGAGCTACACAATCAGACCTAAACTAAAACTTCACAAGCAGACCTAAACTAAAATTACACAAGCAGACCTAAACTAAAGCTACACAAGCAGGCCTAAACTAAAACTTATGCACAAGCAGGCCTAAACTAAAACTACACAAGCAGACCTAAACTAAAACTACACAAGCAGACCTAAACTAAAACTACACAAGCAGACCTAAGCTAAAACTTCACAAGCAGACTTAAACTAAAACTACACAAGCAGACTTAAACTAAAGCTACACAAGCAGACTTAAATTAAAAGTACACAAGCAGACCTAAAGTAAAACTACACAAGGAGACCTAAACTAAAACTACAAGAGCAGACCTAAGCTAAAACTTCACGAGCATACCAAAGCTAAAACTACACAAGCAGACTTAAACTAAAGCTACACAAGCAGACCTAAACTAAAACTACATACATTTTAGACGCTTATAAATTTATTTAGTTCTTGTATTTTGCTTTCATCGGGTCTTCAAATCTTTTGTGACAAAGCACCGGTTTTTGTTATTCTATTCTATATTATTAAATGTTTGGTTACTCGGAAGTCTTAATTTAATTAGAACTTTTCCTGTCAAAGATCGACAACTCTTCTCAAAGTTTAGTTTTAACAACTCTTCTCCTCTGGCATAAGTCCAATTGTTCTTAGAGAAATTATGAGAAAGGTATTCTTCCCTCAGTTCAAATATATTGTCATCTCTCCAGGTTCTAATATAACTTATATTTTCCTGGTTAGGGTTGGATAGAACAGCGAAATCAAAACAATATTTTATTGGGTTGGCAACTGTCACATATTTGATTTGACAATCAAGTAAGCTTAGACAAACATCTCCTCATCTCATCTTTCCTCTCATCCTAATCATTTCTTTCATCCTCGTCCTTCCTCTCGTTTTCAACCTTCCTTTCATCCTCAACCTTCCAGTTAACCTCATCCTTCCTCTCATCCTCATCCTTCCTCTCATCCTCATCCTTCCTCTCATCCTCATCCTTCCTCTCACACTCATCATTCTTCTCATCCTTTTCCTTCCTCTCATCCTCATCTTTCCTCTCATCCTCATCCTTCCTCTCATCCTCATCCTTCTTTCGATAATTGGTTCCAGTAAATTTACAACAACAAAAAATATGGTCCGCAGACTAAATAAGAAATAAGAAGTATGGTTCCGCTGATTATATAAGAAATAAAGAATTATGGTTCCGCTGACTAAATAAGAAATAAAGAAGTATGGTTCCGCTGATTATATAAGAAATAAAGAAGTATGGTTCCGCTGATAATATAAGAAATAAAGAAGTATGGTTCCACTGATTATATAAGAAATAAAGAAGTATGGTTCCGGAAATCATATTAATACTAGATTTGAACAGAATATTAGCTCTGACAGTTAATGGTCTAGATGTACCTGTATATATTCATTATTAACGTCACAAATACTTAATCATTGTGTGTATCATACATAATGAATTTTTACATAATTCCAACCTTACTCATATATGTAATATAAACTATAGATCCTTGTTTGAAGGATTAGTATTATTTAAACTTAGTTCAAAGATCTAATCTAATCTTTACAGTAGTTCATTTGATATCCCTTAACCTATCAATTATTGGAGACCGAAAAAATAGATCAATAAGCTACTCAGGCTCAGGTGTGAAGGGGGGGGGGGGGGGGGGGGGAGAAGGGAAACCTTAAAAGGTTTGTCACGAGGAGTAAAGATAGTTCTATAGCGTTCTCTAGTATGGTCTTATTCTCAAGAGAATATGGAGTTTATTTAGGATACAGGATATAGGATACAGGATACAGGATACAGGATACAAGATACAGGATACAGGATACAGGATACAGGATACAGGATACTGGATACAAGATACAGTAATACAAGACACAAGGTGCAAAACCTAGATAAAGGATACAGCAAAAAGAATAAAGGATACAGCAAAAAGAATAAAGGATACAGGATATATGACACAGTGTACAGGATATAAGATACAGAATACAAGATCCAGGGCACAAAGAATATAGAATACAGGATACAGGACAAAGGATACAATATAAGGACACAAGAACCAGGATACAATTACAGGAAACAGGAAACATTAAATATTAGAATGATACAAACATAAACCAATGATGTGATAAAAATCTAGTTATGTTTCGGTTAATTGTTTCTATACAGCTGGTAAGAGATAAAGTTACTTACTTAAAGTTAAACTAAATCACAGAGAAGATAATTTGGTTTCAGATTCGAAACTTGATCTAAAAGTTGATATTCTATATTTCGATATTCTAAATCGAGATTAAAAAAACAATCTTTTCTATAAATCTGATAGAAGACATCTGCATCGATAACAAATAATGTAATATTTTTATAATAGAACGTTTTGTTCTTGACCTTGTACATTTTTCTTTGTACGAATAATATTGGTAATGTTCTTAAAAATGAATATAAGAATCATTGGCGAATGACGGAAATTCATATTTTGTAAAACAAAACACGATTTCTGAAAACAGGTTCCAAAAAAAATGAAAATGAAAAAACTTTTTTTCAGTTAAACTGGAATTTCGAAGAAAATAAAATCAAAATGACAATAAAAGTGTTAAATTTAATTGTATAGTAACCTTACTGCATAATTTTAATAATGAGAATCTGACACACACACCGTCTGATTGATTAGAGACTTACAAGACTTGTTCAATGTTCATGGGTTAGAAAGTTTATATATTTATTATACCAATATATAAATATGTGTATCCTAGTTCAGCCTCATGGCTCCTAAGGGGGGAGTATACTCATCCTAATAGTATCCAGAGTATGGTTTGGTTTGGAATCTTGAATACAAATGGCGTCTGCCCCAAACCAAACCAAATATAAATTGTTATTGCCATATAAGATAAACTGTTTAAATGTCTGCCAGGAGTGAAGTAACCCGGAAATAGATCTAATTCAATCACAAATAATTATAAATTAATTATTTATGAACGAACAAGATGTTTTAAACATGCATGATTACTCAGATCAGGAAATTCAGGATGTTTCACATTTGTTTTGATTTCTATTATTATGGAAGACAATTCAAATCTTACGTGGCATTTTCCTCCAATCTGTGCTTTTGTACTTTTTCTATTTTTAGAATCTAACAAATATATATCTAGATACTAAGGATGTTTGGTTAAAATGTTGGATCGCGGTTGGAGATTGAGTCCTTGAAGGATGAAAAGACAATGTCTAAAAAGATCCGAAAATGAACCAAAAACAAGAATTAATAGTAAATACACTAGACTAGATTCTCACCATCTCTACGTGACCATATAAATATTAAAAATGCAATAGTTCCCTTGAAAGACACCAGGTTTATAAAGTGTTCGATAAATCAGAAAAAAATTCGAACCCTGGTGTGAGTGAAGAAAAGCAAGAAGGATTATAAAGAATGTAGATGCAGAGGATTATGGAAGACCACCTGGTTCCTGGTTTATGAAATATCCCAGGTTTCCCAGGTTCCTTGAGAAAATATCAAGAAAAGAAAACGGATCTTAAACTCACAATCAAGAAATCTGAATTTGAATATCTTGAACCCTCTGCAACCTTTACTTTAAGTTACAAATTCTAAAAAGTGAAAATATATTTAAGTGTAGTTCAATATTATCAAAGGTTCTAAAACTTAAAATTTGTTGATTAACAAATGTCAAGATGAAATGTAGACCGTCATCTCTTGTGCGTGAAAATAAACCATCCTTACATTCTAATAATATCAAGAGTTCAAGTCTCAGGATGGATTCTGAGAGAACCCTAGGACTAGCAGGGGTAACTAGAGACGATTCGGAACCGAACGGAAGTAGGTCCGAGAGTATCCTGAAAGTCCGGAGCTTGCCCCAGTCAGGACCCAGAGATAAGGCTTGGAATAAACCCAATGCAGGATATAGTCCGCCAAATGATAAATTTCTTCCTCATAACCATGTGATAGGATCCAGAGCTAAATATGAGATGCAAACACTGGACTCATCCTTCCTTTACGGACAAGGAACAAAGCCCAAACCTGAATCCCCGAAGAATATTTTTTCTGGAATTTTCCGGCGGGAGAGAAGACCGTCAGAGAAACATTTAGAGTTTGTTGACATGTTACAATTTCCCAAAGGAAACAAGTGAGATTTTTTCTTATTCATTTTTATTTTTCTAATGGAATTGAGTCTTTGCCACAAACTCTGATTTTCTAATCACAATATCTTTGCAACCCAATGTTGTAGTGCTTAGATATTTCAAACTATGAATTCTGTGAGATCAAATAATCTAAGTTCGAGATATAAAAGGTTTTTACCATCAGGTTGCAGAGATAAAGGAATTAGAAAATTTGAGTTTGTGGCAAAGGTCCAATTTCTATACTTTAATTCATGGATTTTTTACCGGCCATTCTAATGGTTTAAAACAAACTGTTGATTCAGTCCTCGGAGAGGAGGAGGGTTCGGATTAAGTTTTGAAAGAGATGAAAACGGATCCCCAGTTAGTGATAGATCCTGCAGTCCTGTTAGGGGACGGAAGAAGGTGATTCTCACACACCTCCATTTACTTTCTAGAACCTTCTAGAATATTTAGATAATTCAATTCAAGAATTCTCTATTGTTATATAGAAATTAGTTTCAGATGTAGTTCTAGTTGAAATATTTTGATTATTTTTGAAGATGGATTGCAATAAAAGTTTTAATTACAGTATATGCACTAAGATGCACCAAGGTGCATATCATGTATGCAATGCATAATTTATAAAAAAAAATATAAAACTCTGTTTGTTTCTATGTCCGACCATAGCTCTGGAAACCCTTGACCGATTTGCCACAAATTTTAATTGGGGAACTTTTCAGATTGGTCTGATTTTTTTAAATTATTAAGATCTCCCGGCCAAGCTGGGTTAGCAAGCTAATAATAGTATATTTAGTAGCATAATAAGTATGAGATTAGTAGCATATTTAGTTATAAATATAAAAAATATACTTTTTATATCATATGTACAATACACAACTAAGCTTTCGGTGTGTATTGCAGTGATTTTAGTACACTGACCGAAGATATAGTGGGTTTTAGTGGAGGGTGTACAGTACAACCTACTTTGTAGCATTATATAAAGTATATGAGTTAAACAGTACAGTAAGTTTTGTATCTTGTTTATATGTAATTACTTAGACTATTTTTTTATGCAAACATTCCTTTTTTTATATAATTCCCTTTTAAGTGGGAGCACAGAAAGAGAAAATTGTGTGAGATGGGGGGGGACTCTTACTTACGTATATAAATATATAATCTAGTCTAGATCCAATTTCATCCATCAATTCTCGTCAATCAATATTATTTGTAAAAATGGAAATTAATAAATTTTTAGAAAAAAATGTTATTAAAAGTCTCTAATAGTGTTCTTAAACTTAGTTAGATAGAAAAGACAAAAATATGATATTTTCCTTTAATAAATACGCAATAAAGAAACATTTTTGTTTCAGGTGTTAGGAATAGGTTCAGACATACCAACCGATCACAAGTTTCACACTGCTCCTAGAATTCACAAATGGACGATCCTACATTATTCTCCGTTCAAGGTGAGATTATTCTCCGTTCAAGAAAAGATAGGTTTTTTAAGATATGGCCCTTGCTTCATAAATAAAATATTAGACTTTTTTTCAAAAAAAAAAATGTCCAGAATTTTTCGTTCCAACTGTATTTTGTTGCAGGCACTCTGGGATTGGGTGATTCTATTCCTGGTGATATACACAGCAATCTTCACTCCATATGTCGCGGCCTTTTTATTAAATGAACCTGGTTACAACGATAGGTCTGGACAAAACGATCCAATTGTAGTCATAGATCTTATAGGTAGGTGCAGTCTTTTTTCCTGTAGGATTATAAAACTTATTCTGTTCTATCTACGTCTAACACCCCCCCCCCCCT